TTGTCTCATCGAGCTTGCAAACCCTCTGCCAACCGCTTCACTAGCCCCTCACCATGACATTTTCTAGCATTCCATTTTTTCTCTGATTAAAACTACTTGTCATGATGGCTGGATGTTCATGCTGGTTTCTCTGCCCACTTTGGAAATTGCTATGTCAGCAACCCTGACTATTTAAAGTATCGTGTCTAGCCCCTAACTAGCCTCAAGGCAATGATTTGCTATAGAGTCGAGTCTTCTAAATCAGCTTCAGTCTGCATAGGCCAGGGGCACAAGCTATGGTATCAGACAAAGCTTTGGTACTCTGTCTGGAAGTACACAACAAAGATTCCATGACTTTTAGTAAACTAGCAGAATGCTCTAAGCCAGAGGATGTCAACCTGTGGACCCCTTTGGAGTCGCATATCAGATATTTACATTACAATTCATAACAGTAACAAAATTAAAGTTACGAAGCAGCAATGAAGTAGTTTTGTGGTTGGGGGGCGGTGGTCACCACAACATGAGGAGCTGTGTTAAAGGCAGCGTTAGGAAGGTTGAGAACCACTGCAACCCTTATTTAACTCTCATCCGATGAAAACAATACCTACCTAGCTCATTCTTTGTTCACCGTCTTGGAATGAGGTGAGGCAGAGAATGGGGTTCTTTCTCAAACTTCTAGCCATCTTCCACCTAACCTCTTTTTCGCCAGTGCATCACACTTAGGCCAAATGTACATGTAAGCTAGCAGTTTCCCCCTCTGATACATAGCTTAATACAGGAAAAATCTGTCTCTGCTCTTAGGCTCATGAGACAGTGAGCTGCAGACTCACACCCATGTTGAAGGAGAATCTCTGACACGGGAGAGCTACTAAGAATGCACAGTGCAGCAGATAGCATTTTAACATATTGTCCCCTAGAAGGACCTTGACCGTGATGGTCAACTCTCTACCTAAGCCCAGAGGCCAACCAAGGTATGTTTTCCTTCCTTCCTTCCTCCCTTCCTCCCTTCCTCCCTTCCTTCCTTCCTTCCTTCCTTCCTTCCTTCCTTCCTTCCTTCCTTCCTCCCCTTCCCTTCCCTTCCCTTCCTTTCTTTGCTCCTTTCTCCCCTGTTTGCCTCTCTCCCTTTTTTTTCTTGTCATTTTCAAGTCTGTTTCATAACCCATTCCAACAGTGGATGGAGGACAAAAAATGACTCTGTTGTCAAGAATGCATACTGCTCTTGCAGAGATGAACTAATATATACCCAATTACAAAGAAAGGAAAATCCTTAAAAATAAAAGAACTGATGAGCCTACTATAGATGTTTTAAGATTTTCCTCATTATTTGTGGGGGGATGGGGGGTGAGGGTGCTCACAAAGGCCAGGAGACGGTATTGGATCTTCTAGAGTTTGAGTTATAGGCAACTGTTAGCCATCTGATGTGGGTGCTGAGAATTGAACCCTGGTCTTCCCGAAGAGTAGCAAGAGCTCTTAACCATTGAGCAGTTTCCCCAGACCCACATTGTGCATTTTCAAGGAAACGCATGTCAACAAAATGCCCCCATGTTCTGGAGTTCTGGGCGAGCTCTTTGGCAGGGTTTCCGGGGACGGTGGAGCGCTGTTTACTGACACCAAATACAGTCTGGGCCTCCAATCTCTGTCCTCCCACAATTATTATGGGGAGCGGGGGGAGGCAGCATGCACCTTGAGGCTTCACAATGAAAAAGACTACAGACTCTCTAGATTCTAAAGGCCAAGAGGAAGACTGCATTTAAAAGCAAAAGAACAGTAGGAGTTACAATCCGCTGGTTCTCTTGTTTGACTTGGACTGTTTTTCCCTCCTTACTTTTTAAACAGACCATGTTGAGTCTAAGGCATTCTGCTATCTCATTGCCTTTAGCAGAATGAGTATTTCCAAGCAGGGGGGAGGAGGGGGGTGAGGGGCAGGACGGCAGTGATCCATCTAGGCTTCGCTGACATGTGTGATTCAGCCTTAGGTGGTCTAAGCAACCGGAGATTTATGAATCCATTCGTCCTGACAGGGGTGCCAACTTGAAGTGTTTTGTGCTTGTTCTCTCTCCTCAAAGAGAGATAGATGTAAAGTGCTCCCCTAACCTATAAACTAATAGTCATAAGATCGTTAAAGCTCAAAATAGCATAAATTCTTCACAAACTTGCAAAAGCTCTGTTATTTAAGTTATCCAAATTAAAACAAGTCTGGAGGGTGTCACCGATCCATTACATTTCTAGGCATGAATCACGTCGCCAGACCAATGTGTTTTCTTACAATCTCTCACTCTGTACTCCAAAAAACATTTAAAAAAAAAAAAAAGCATCAGGAGCCACAAAGCAGACACAGGTGATCTCCGCCCAGAGGAATTTGCTCAAACATTGTCATGACTCAAATAAACGAAATGGATTTTGGCAGGAGCCAAAAGAGGAAGTGGGTTTAAGTCCCCAGGAATGCCGTGCCGCACGGTGGTGAGAAGACTTGAGTGCGCGCACCTGGAGGCCAGATGGTGCCGGGAAACTCACAGCCAGATGGCAAAGACTGGCGAGTGTTAAAATGAAACATTCCCCATCAGTAAGTTCCAGGCATTCAAAGGCGACTCGCACTCACCTGTCCCTTGGAGAAAGGTGCTCCAATGATCCCAATGGGCTTCGGCTTGGAGCTCATGCTCTCGGCAAAATTCCTCCCGCAGCCCCGGTGCTGTCCAGCTGCTTGCCTCCAGCTGTAACTCTAAAACGCAGCACATCTTTTTCCCCCCTCCTTATAATAGGGCTGGATCTGTTTATCCAGCAGCTGGCCCCGCCCACTGAGTGGAAGAATGGCAGAGTCAACAGAAACTCCCCATCAGTAGAATCGCCCCGTCCCTCCAAGCCTCTCAGGTCTCTAGTTTAGGAACATTATTCATCCGTCCAGTTCACGCCCTTTTGAAAAAGCCAGCTGGATGACATTAATCTTTCCTCAGACAATTGACAATTATGTATGGTTTCATAACTACGTGTGAAGTGCTTGGTCCCTAGCCTGTGCAACCTTGGGGCGGTGCACTCACCTTTTCCTGGATTTAAATCCACTGAGGAATTGCAAGTGGAGGCTAGAAGGGCACCAGAGTCTCTTACTAGCCTCCCATTGAGCATCCCGAGTCAAGGCTGGGAAAAACAGCCGACCTGCCTGTGAGACACATTTTCTGTATACCAGGTTACACTGTCTGGGAAAACATGTGGTTTATTTATTTTTTTCTTCTTTTTTGCTTCTTTACAGGAAGACATCAGTTATTTCCCCGATAACCCAACGCAATTTCAGTTTTGAAATAGTGTCCAGGAAAATCTCATTTTTGCAATCATGAGAAAGCAAAACCAGCTAGCTTGAGTTTTTCTCTTAAGCCAAGGGCTGGTCTAGACAACGTCATTTCATTTCGTCTTTAAACCAACCGTAGGCTGAATATCATTCTTCTTGCGGCTTTACTGAGGGAGAGACTACAGTGTGGGAGGTGGTCATTCACGTGCAGGCTGCAGAATAGAGCTCCAGCGCTGGGCCTGCTGGATCCACCTGAGGGCTGGGCTTCTAATCTGAGCACCAGCCGTGCCAGCGGGGCCCCCTGAGACATTGTCCGTCAAGGTGTAGAAGCAGAGATCTAGGCCAGCTGGCGACGCACCGACACCAACCCTGGTGTCCTGAGTTTGACCCTCAGAACCCATATGGTGGAAGGAGAAAATCAACTCTCCCAGGCTGACCTTTGACCTCCACGTGAGTTATGTAGTGCACGCAGAACCCACCCCCTACGCTGAATAAATATTTTGAAAAGTGTGAATCCAGAAGAAATACAACCAAGTATTCTCCCAGCTGTAAAATCACATGATTATAATTTTAAAAAGAAAACCCACATATCAGAAGTTCACGTTTTTCATCCTTCTGAAGATAAAAGCACCAAGGAGAACTTTTAATTCCTCAAGGCAGAGATTCTTTCCGCCTGTATCTTCAGTACTCAGAGTAGTGCGATACGGGATAAACACCGACTTTATTGATTGGGTAAATGTGTTATACTTTCTGAACGAATAAATCAAGAAGCCAAAGTCTCTCAGCACCATTTTGATGCCTCCTTTCCAAATATATTTTCTACATTTATTATGTCTTGCTGATATATTCTAAATATATAGTTACAGTTTTTTTTTTCAATTGGCTTATTTGCGACAGAATCTCTGCATATACTCCAAGCTGGCTTGGAACTCTTTGCCTTCCTCCTGCCTCAGCCTCTTAAAACCTGGTGCTGGTGCCACACCTGGATGTGGCGCTCTCTGTGTGAACTAAGTAATGACCACTAATGACATTGGCAGTGTAAATCACTTTTCTTTTCTTTTTGCTTTTGTTTTGTTTTGCTTTTCAAGACAAAGTTTCTCTGTGTAACAGCTCTGGCTGTCCTGGAGTTCACAGAAATCTGTTTGGGATTAAAGGCGTGCGCCATCACTGCCCAGCCACTTCCCTTAATCTGTTGAGAATCGGATAGCTTCGTGGATGCTATCATAATTTACAAATGGGCAGCTGGGTAGTTTTCATCATAAACTTTGGGAGTTCAAGTTTCACCTGCTCCCCAGACCGCAAGCGTGATTCTACATTTTCTTCTATTTGATTTAAATTTTATCTTTTGGGGGCCTCTTGGTGCTGGCCTGTAGTTCTAGCTCTTTGGGAGGCTGAGGCAGGGGAACCACAGGGTCAAAGCCTGCCTGCATGATAGAGGTGATTCGAAGCCAGCATGACCAATTTAGAACTTTCCCCAAAGTTAAAAGGAAAGGAGATAAAAGCTGTTCAGGGATGGATTGTGTGCCTACTAGTAAGATGCTAGGTCTGAGCCTTAGAAGCACCAAGAGCTCAGGGTGTGCACTGGCTTCTTTTTAATCCACCTCCATTTCTTATATTGTTTAAATCTTCTTACTTTAGCTCCACCAGCTTCATCAACAGCACCCAATGGGCAGCCTCTCCATGCTACAACTAAGCTGTCTCTATCTTGAGCCAAGTCCCCTGTCAGAGCGCTGTCAAAAGAACTGACACATGGCACCCAATGCCTTGGGGGATCGTGGGAGAGGCTCCAGGAAAGAAAGGCAGAGGACCTTTTGACCTCAGGTGCATTTTATCCCCTGGGTTGCTCTTGGATGTGATTTTATGCCTCTTGTGTTTAACATTGGGTTTCAATTTATAATACATGTTTATTTTTGTTGAGCGTCAGAATATAGCTATAGGACCCATTCTGGTCAGTGTGCCCTGAATCTGGATATGGCCTTCTGCCTTGCTTTCATGATTTCTCATATAGAATCTATAGTACATACCAGACAATGGTGCTTCACTTGGTCTGTCCTGAGAATGTTCTGGGAAAGGGCTGCCCTCTTAATACTTAGTATGTGCTTACTGATGTTTATTTACATGTTTTTTTTGAACTCAGACAGCCCTCCTCAGAGCATGGCTTTCTCTGTTTCATTTGTACGTAAATGTACGTTAAAACTGAAATAAGGTTGTCTCCAGCATGAGACTGTAGTTCTACCCCATTCTTTCAGGTCCTCAGACCCTAAGTCCAGCAGACAAGATTTGTACAGATGGACCGAAGAGTCAACACTGCTCCAACCAGTTTCCTCTGTGCCACTGGCTGGCTCATCCAGGGCTACACCAATCTATAATGCCTTGCTAGTGTGGCTTCATGGTGGATTTTATGGTTGGACAAGATGAACAGGTACTCTTCCTTTTTGAAATTGGCTGGGTTTATGTTGATTTGTATCTGGTTTGTATAGAAGAAGTTGGTGAGTATGTTTTTGCTAATTTTATATATTCATTCATAGAGATTTACTGTCAAACCTCATCACCATGGGACTTCTTGGAAGTCTTTCTTCAGGCAGATTGTGAGTACCTTTTTATCACCTGACTCACTGATAAACACTAACTCTCTGATAAAGAGATGTTCATGATTTCTTGGCTATCTGTTTTCCTTTGGTCTTTGTTGGTTAGGGAGTCTAACCTCACTGGTTTCAGGTATTGCATGGTTTGCCATCATGGCCGCTCTGTTTCAAACATCTGTTTTCCTTAAGTAGACCCTCCAGAGCTCAGTGCTTAGGTCCAGGTGTAGATGGAGACATCTAGTCCATCGAACCCCATTTGCTATTGCTTGCCTTTCCTAGGTCACTGCGGAATCAAACGGCAAGGAAGCACTTCAATAAGAGCTCCGTCACTCCACAGGGAGCCCCAGTCCAAAGTGACACAGCCCCTGAACCAGTCATCCACATATAGACGGGCTTGTTGGCCAACACAGCATGTTCATACAGCAGCACAAAAAAGTCTGGAAGTTGTCTCATTTCCTAACAAAACAGTCTTGCTGTGCTTCGTTGGCTACGTTTTGTCCTCTGACTTCCCTATCCAAGATGAGCAGATCCTGACAGGTCCTGCCCTTGGTGACCTCATGCAGACATGCAATGATTATCACTTCCTTCCTGTCATAAACACAAACTGTGGGTTTTTTTGTTTAATTTGAAACTTTTTATATTCATTTATTGTGTGTGTGTGTGTGTGTGTGTGTCTTAAACACATGTCAAGGTGCCCTGTGGAGGTCCTGTCCCACCGTATGGGTTCGGGGAATCAGACTCAGGTTGTCAGGCTTAGCAGCAAGCACCTTTATCTAAGATCCTCTAACCTCCACAGGGGACTGACTATCTTTTCAATTTCCAAAGCTGTGTCCACAGACCAGCCAAAGCAGTGCTTCTCAACCTGTGGGTCGCAACCCCTTTGGAGTTGAATGACCATTTCACAGGGTCGCCTAAGGCCATCAGACAACGCAGATATTTACAATGTGATTCCTAACAGTCATAAAATCAGAGTTATGAAGTAGGAAGGCAAAGAATTTTATGATTGGGGTTAGCACCACTTGAGGAACTGTTTAAAGGGTGGAAGCATTAGGAAGGTAGAGAACCACTGTAAGGAAGAAGACAGGGCCATCGTCTATGTCCTGTTATCAGAGCCCACTCTCCCCAGTGCAAGTCTTTCTTCAGCGTAGACAATACGCCCTGGGCTTTAAAGGGTTATTTCCTAGGAATGTAGACCTCACCCACCCACTTGCCTTCTACCACAAATGGGTATTTAAAATTGTTGACATTTGAGGCAGAGCTGAGCTTCCTCTACACACACAGAGGAGTCCTTCACCTAGCTCCAGTTTCTGGTGTTTTGTTGGCAATCTTTAGTGTTGCTTTGGCTTATACGTACACCATTCTGAGCATCTAGGTTCACTGGCATTCTTCCGGCATCTATTTCTGTCTTTTCGCCTTTTCATCTCATAAGGACATCAGTCAGAATGCATTTTCAAATAACAAAGAAAACGAATTTCAAAAGTTTCGCCACTAGAGTGCCTAAAAAAAGAAATGTTTCTTGCAGTCTACACTCTTCTCTTTGATGCTCCCAACCATGGCCTATATCTTCATTGTATTCTTATCAGCCAGCTGACAGATGAGACCTTTGAAGGATAAAGCCCCAAGAGCTGGAAAATACACCAATGGGGTGATTTCAGGGGTGCGTTCTACTTGGTGTGTAGACTCCTGAAACCCAACACAGCAAGGACAGGTGGTCCCTGAAACAGGGACTTTGTGGAAATGTTCAGATCTCGCCTTGTCTCTGGTAGGGACTCTCCGAACCCTGGGGTACAGCGGCAGCCAGAGCAGGGTGAGTGGGACAACAAGGCTTGCTCGGGACGTCTGACTCATGGTGGTTTCATAACTGTTTGACTGCACAACCTCTTCCCCTTCTTTCCGGACTCGCCCAAATGTGGAGCAAAGTTCACAGCAGGGTGGAGGCTGCAAGAAACAGGACATGGAAGATCAACACCCCGGGTATCTCTGTGAACCAAACTATCACAAAAAATAAGCCACTTGGGACCAGGTGACAGGGATCCGCACACATGGCAACTCATGGCCAGTAAGACCTTGAAACACAACCTTGGTGTCAGGATTTTTGTCATTTTGGAGGTTTCAACTGCAGATTCTCAGTAGGAATCAGCAGAAGGAAGTTGAAGATGGAGGAAGGCAACCAAAAGCAAGAGACTCATGAGCATATGTAGAGTTGTCTCAAGGTGTTCCCAAAAGACATGAGGACTTGGTTCCTTGCATACAGGTCTTCCACTTGTTTGGTTAGAGTTAGTCCAAGATATTTTATGTTATTTGTGTCTATTGTGAAGGGTGATGTTTCTCTGATTTCTTTCTCAGCCCATTTATCACCTGCGTAAAGGAGGGCTTCAAGTTAATCTTGTATCTTGCTACATTACTGAAGGTGCTTATGAGCTGTAGAAGTTTCTTGGTAGAATTTTTGGCGTCACTTATGTAAACTATCATATCATCAGCAAATAGTGAGAATTTGACTTCTTTTTTGATTAGTGTCCCCTTGATCTCCTTTTGGTGTCTTATTGCTCTAGCTAGGACCTCAAGAACTACACTGAATAGATATGGAGAGAGTGGACAACCTTGTCTTGTTCCTGATTTCAGTGGGATCATTTTGGGTTTCTCTCCATTTAGTTTGATGTTGGCTGCTGGCTTGCTGTATATTGCCTTTATTATGTTTAGGTATGTTCCTTGTATCCCCTGCTCTCTCCAAGACCTTTATCATGAAGGGATGTTGTATTTTGTCAAAGACCTTTTCAGCAT